TTAAATCTAATTAGATCATGATTAAATAATAATTATCAAATACAAACGAAAATAGTCAAATACTAATTCCTACCCGTGAACTAATCGAGGCCGGGCTGACGACTGACGAGGGCGAAGAGTGCACAGAGGCGAAGAATCTGCCCAAGTAGCATTGCACGCGTCCTACCATGGTCTTGAACGCCACCTCATGCGTCTGGCCACGGACTACTGCCACCACAAGTGATGGATTGCTGACGTGTGTGTGGTTTGGTGTACTACTGCCTCCAGGGCGGCGGCAGCGGTGGCAGCACAGCAGCATTGCAGCTGGCACGGCCGCACCCGCACAAGCAGACGGCCAGTGAAGTCTGGCCGCGTGGACCAAGAACTAGATGCTGCTTAGGCCTGGTTTAGTTGCAAAAAAAAGTTTTAAAAAAGTGTTACAGTACCTATTACATCGAATCTTGCGATATGTGTATGGAGCATTAAATGTAGACGAAAAAAAAACTAATTACACAGTTTTGTTAGAAATCGCGAGACGAACGTTTTGAGCCTAATTAGTCCATGATTGAATACTATTTACCAAATAAAAACGAAAGTGTTACAGTACCTAACTTCCAACTTTTCCTCCAACTAAACACAGCCATAGCAGCGAAGGAAGCAGAGCAGGCCGTGTGGGGTCTACCTCTACCCCGCGCCGCGCGTCGGCTGCATCCAGCGCCAGCCGCCGCCAACCGTGTGCCGGCCGTCGCCCGTTGCGGGACGTCGTAGCGGGACCGCATGGTACGTGTCCTCTTCGCGTTGCGTGTTGGGGATGGGACGTTCGTTTGTTTGTAAATCATCGTAAATTTTCAGTCGGAAATAGTGTTTTTCTCTCACACTAAATCAGTCAGTAGTAAATAATCCACGATATGATACGGTCTCTCGAACACGCCAGCGTGGCTCCCTGGAAATGGCAGGTGGGAAGCAACAGAGGCGGACAGGCGGTCAGGCATCGCATCTCGCACAGTTGAACTGACGGCACGTCGAGTCTGCACGACCAGCATGAACAATGGCGATGAGTGTGCTGCAACTGCAACCGCAACTGTTTAGATTGGGTTAGAGTATTTGATAGGGTAGCATTTTTATTTGTATTTGATAATTATTGTTTAATCATGGTCTAACTAGATTTAAAAAATTTGTCTCGTAATTTATAATCAAACTATGTAATTAATTATTTTTTTATCTATATTTAATACTTTATGTATGTGTCCAAAGATTTAATGTGACGAAAAGAAAGTGAAAAAACTTGTATTCTAAACAAGGCCTGCAAAAGGTTCTTGGTGTTTTGCTACTCCCCTGTCCTTATGCTCATGCTCTGACCGTGATACGGAGCCAAACCGTACGAGTCAAACCGTACCATGCAGAAAAATGCAGAACCGTGTACCAGTAGCAGTACTGCACTGTGGTGCACGTGATTTCGTGACCGTGATACGGAGCTGTTCATGCTGGGTGGTGTTTAAATGCGTAAAATTTATTACATCGAATATTATATTAGGTGTCACATAGTATTCGGATATTAATAAAAAAATAAGGTCTTATTTAGATTTCATCAAAATTCCAAAGTTTTTTCACTTTCTCTCCATCACATCAATTTTTGGACATATCTATAGAGTATTAAATTTAGGTAAAAAAATAATTAATTATACAGTTTGGTTGTAAATCACGAGACGAATCTTTTGAGCCTAGTTAGTCTATGATCGGACAAAGTTTGTCAAATACAAACGAAACGTGCTACAGTGTCCGGATTGCAAAAATTTGCAATCTAAACAAGGCCTAAATTATAGAATTCGTCAATAAACCGCGAGACGAATTTATTAAGCATAATTAATCCGTCATTAGCACATATATGTACTGTAGCACTTTATTGTCAAATCATGAACTAATTAGGCTTAAAGGATTCGTCTTGTAAAGTAGTCGTTGTGTAATTAGTTATTTTTTAAAATCTATATTTAATACTTTATCCATGTGTCAAATATTCGATGTGATATGGTATAAAGTTTTAACGGAAAACTAAGCCCTTGTTTAGTTGGGTGAATTTGGATTTTGGGGCTACTGTAGCACGTTCGTTTTTATTTGGCAAATAGTGTTCAAACATGGACTAATTAGGCTCAAAACGTTCGTCTCATAATTTTCCAACAAACTATGTAATTAGTTTTTATTTTCGTCTACATTTAATACTCTATGTACGAGCCGTAAACATTCGATGTGACAGATACTATAGCAACTTTTTAAACTTTAGGATCCAACTAAACAAGACGTAAGCAAGAGTACTCATCAATCAGGTGTCTCGGAAAAAAAACAAACGAAAAACCACACGGTAATTTCCCCGTCCCCACACGAAAGGAACATGCAAAATAGCAGCCGGCACCTACTACTAGTACTACTCTACTCGTGGCCGAGTACGAAACTGAGGTCACCTACTACTAGTACTACTCTACTCGTGGCCGAGTACGAAACTGAGGTCACCTACTACTAGTACTACTCTACTCGTGGCCGAGTACTGAGGTCACCTACTACTTTTTTTTTGAAACAATAGGTCACCTACTACTGGTACTACTCTACTCGTGGCCGAGTACGAAACTGAGGTCACCTAGTACTAGTACTACTCTACTCGTGCCCTCGGTGTCTGATTGTTTAGCTCATGATGTCATATACATGTTGAAATCGAGCTTCCCTCCATAAAAAATATGTCAACAGTAACGCTTCTTCCATTTTGTCAATGGCCATTGCGCCGTCTAGCCTTCGTTGTCAACTTCCCCTTCTTCGGCTCCATATCTGCTCACGCCGGTTTATATTTGTTTAGACTAGTTTTGGTAGAAGGGGTGATGGTGATTCATGTTAGGTGTCTCGGAATTTCTTTTATTTCAGTCGATCATTACTGTACTACGCCGATCACTGTCTACAAGGCCATCAGCCATTTGTGTGCATCCGTTTTGGCTTGTTTGACTTACTGCTGATTGTGTGATCTCTAGCTACGATAATGTTTTGTCCCTTTGTTCCAGACTAAATAGCTTTTACCAGATAATTAGACAATTTTATGAATAAACTCATGATATAAATCAAACAGGAAGGACGAGGACAAACTAACTATGTCAGCTTGGTTCAGTGTTAGCAAATATCCTGTGAGTGGAATCAATCAAACTCATTTTGGGGTTTTGTTTGGGCCTGATTGTGCTAGTGAGCTAGTCTGAACGACAGGGGCGCTATGCGACCTAGAATTGCCGCACAAAACAACATGTGACCCTTTTTATTTTATGAAGTTTATATAGAAAATTACATGGAGAAGGAGATAAATTGATGTTGCTACTTATTTTCTGAAGCCTTAGTTTAGCAAGTAAATTATACAAGTTCTCGGAGATGCTCTAACCATCTATTGCTACGCAACTTCCTCAAAAGTAAGCAAATTGAGCATAACTAAGTTGATTAGAATCTTTGTGGTGGACCTTTGGTAATCAGACTAGATTCATTTCATGACTCAATGACACTATTCTTTCAGTGTCTGGAGATGTGTTAATCAATATGATGTGGCTATGGTTACTTCATCAATCTTTAGGTGTGTCAGTTTAGTCTTGCAAATATGCTCATAGAGGTAGGAAATGGTGCTCATATGATAGGAAAAAGTGTAGATGAAGATCTTAATTGATCCTAATTCTATATCATTAGCTTTCCGTCTATCATTGGCGAACATTTTCCAATTGTAATTTTGTTTTCCACAACGGATTGTATCCCTTTATACCTCCTACCGTACAAATTAAAGACCAAAACCGAATCATATGTTGATCAGGAGTAACTTTTATCCTTTATAAAGAGAACAATATTACTTTGGTTGAACCATGTTGACTAACAAGTTGTATTTGGTTTTGTTCAATAGGTTGGAATAGCCTTTTTTGTCCCTTAACTATAGCTCGATGCTCAAGTTCATTTTTAATTACCAAAGTAGTTGTTTTAGTCCTTAAATTTTACTTTTGGATCTAGTTTAGTCCATAGACTACCAAAGTGGGCTATTTTATTCCTCAAACCTTACTTTTTGGCTTAATTTTATACATGGACTGTCAAAGAAGTTGTTTCAGTCCTTAAACTTTTCTTTTGGGCTCATTTAAGTTTGACTACCGCATGTGCCACACACACTCGATGTCGACACACGACCGTAAACTATGTCAAAGGAGGTGTGACATATAACTGGGCACGATGGGATGGGTGCATGAAAACGGTGAGTGGTAGATGGCTATAGGCAGGTGCAGTATTGTAGTTGAGGAGACTTTTGAGATACAACATATACAAAATTTGCCTTAGCATAAACATGATGTGCTACATAGGACGAGGAGTGGTGGTTATGAAAACATGGTGTGCCACGTTAGGATGAGGAGAAAGGATGAGCCAAAAAAATTAAGAAATGAATTTATGGATGGAACTGAGCCCAAAGGTAAAATTTGAAGACTAAAGTATCCACTTTAGTAGTTTATAAAGACGAGACTGATCCAAAAGAGAAACGTGAAACAGCCACTTCAATAATACTAGTTCAAAAACGAATTTGAGATCCAAACGATAATTGAGGAACAAAAATAGCTATTCCATCGTGTTCAACCCACGCATACATAGGTTGGAAAATGGTTATTTGATTCGTTGAGCACGCAGATGTAGTTTTCATGGGGCTGAAATTCAGAGTTGGTTGTACGTACACATCTGTCAATCTTTGTTTGAGTGCTTTGACACCCAAAATGTGCATCAACTGTATAACGAAGAACTAGGGCTGCTTTCGTGCCCCATTTTAAACACGCATCAACTGTATAACGCTGGGGCAGTGTGTTGTCCTGTCTCGCCGCGCCGACATTTGCACAGGGGTACCGAGTACAGGACGAGACGACTCGCGCTGTATTTAGAGACAGGCACCCAACATGACACATGTTCTCTCCCTTCATTAGAAACACCACACACAACCTTTGTAGTTTGGACAAACACACCATAGTCCACGCTCCACAGGCATGTCGTCGCAGCCGCACGTCCTCCTGGTGTCGTTCCCTCTCCAGGGCCACGTGAACCCGCTGCTCCGACTGGGCGCCCGCCTCGCCGCCAAGGGCCTCCTCGTCACCTTCACGACGTTCCGCCACGCCGGCCTCCGCGCCCTGCGCGACGACGGCGCGTGCGACGCCGTCGGCGCCGGGCGCGGCCGCCTCCGGTTCGACTACCTCCGCGACGACGGCGGGCCGTTGCGCTCCCCGGACGACGACCCGCGCTACCTGAACCCCAGCGACATGCTACGCCACGTCGCGGACGTGGGACCGTCGGCGCTGGCCGGCCTCCTCCGGCGCCAGGCCGACGCCGGGCGGCCCGTGGCGTGCGTCGTGAACAACCCCTTCGTGCCGTGGGCGCTCGACGTGGCGGCGGGCGTGGGCATTCCGTGCGCCATGCTGTGGATCCAGTCCTGCGCCGTGCTGTCGCTGTACTACCACTTCTACAACTTCCCCGAGGCCTTCTTCGCGTCCGAGGCCGACCCCGACACGCCGGTCGCGGTGCCGGGCCTGCCGACGGTGGCCGCGGACGAGCTGCCACTCATGGTCCGCCCTGAATACGCGAGGAACCTGTGGGGCCAGATGCTCCGGGCGCAGCTCGGGGAGATCAAGAAGACGGTGACCTGGGTGCTGGTCAACACCTTCGAGGGGCTCGAGCGCCCGGTCGTCGAGGCGCTTCGCTCCCACGCGCCGGTGACCCCCGTTGGTCCGCTCCTGGACCATGACGGCGACCACAACGACGACGACGGCTGCATGGCGTGGCTGGACGCGCAGCTGCCCGGGTCCGTGGTGTACGTGGCGTTCGGCAGCCTCGTGAACATCGGCCGCGGCGAGATGCTGGAGGTGGCGGAGGGCCTGGCCAGCACCGGCAGGCCTTTCCTGTGGGTGGTGCGCGACGACAGCCGGCGGCTCCTCCTCCCGGAGGACGCCCTCGCGGCGTGTGGCGACAGGGGCAGGGTCGTGGCGTGGTGCCCGCAGGGGCGCGTGCTCGGCCACGGCGCCGTCGGGTGCTTCGTGACGCACTGCGGGTGGAACTCCGTCGCCGAGGCGCTCGCCGCCGGCGTGCCCATGGTCGGGTACCCGTGGTGGTCCGACCAGTTCACCAACGCCAAGCTATTGGTGGAGGAGTATAGGGTCGGCGTCCGGCTGCCCGCACCGGCGACGCCGGACGCCCTCCGCGCGAGCGTCGACGAGGTGATGGGCGGGCCACGGGCAGCGGCGTTCCGGATGAGAGCCAAGGCGTGGAAAGACGAAGCGGCGGCAGCTGTTGCCGATGGTGGGTCCTCGGACCGGAACCTCCAGGCTTTTGTTGAAGAGATACGGCGGTTTCATGAAACAAGATCTGATGGTAGCATGATCAACTCAATCAAACATTTGAATTCGATCGATGTTCGTTGAGATGTCTCTAAGCTTTATTTACTGGTCAATGTTAGTGCCATCCGCAGCTTCAGATTGTACGTTGCCTTGACATGGTCAAAATGAACTCGTGAAAAAGGATTGTTCGATAAGAATCTTTCCAAATTAAGAATAAGAATGGTTTTATAGAGATTAAAATATAATCACTGCTCCAGTAATACTATTTGAACGGGGATCAGCCGGTCGGTCGGTCTTATAAGACCAATGCGGCCCTATAGAGATTAAAATATAATCACTCGCTATAAACCACTTCGACCGGTCCGATGCCCCGCGACTCCCACTCGCAGCCCACTCCCCTCACTTGCTCTTCTCCCCAGCAGCCTCTCTCCCTCACTTGCTCTTCTCCGTTCCCCTCCCCTCCCCCCTTTTCGCTTCGCCTCCTCCGCACCAGAGCTGGGATCGGGACACACGCTGCGAGCTCAAGAAGCCTGCCGCCCGCCCGCCGATGCTCCCTTCCTCTCTCCGTTCATCGCCCACCGTGACCTCCATGCACCCCCATTGTCCCTACAACTCGGCTCTCACACCCCACCGGAGACGAGGCCGATGGCGGTGGCTCCAACAAGGTAGGTGGCGGAGGGATCTGGATCTGAGGCCTGCTTCCCCTCCTCTGGATCTGAGCCCTTCTCCCTCCTCCTCTGGATCTGGATCTGAGCCCTCCTCCTCCTCCTCCTCCTCGTCTGGATTTAAGGGATGCGGCGGTGGCTAGGGTTTCGGCGAGCTCTCGGGGTCAAATCTCGCCGTGTTGCAATGTTTTTTTTATGTTGCAACAGATGATTTCGAATGTTGCAATGAGATTTTTTGGGGTTGTTGCAACAGATGTTTTTGCGATGTTACAGTAGTACTGCTTAAGATGTTGCAGTATGTTTTGGTTGCTTCAATCTTATGTTGCAGTAGTTGTTCCATGTTGTTGCAAGTATTTTATTTTCGAGCGTTGTTCATATGCTTCACACCAGTGTTGCAATAATATATTCCAAATGTTTCAGCTCCTTCAGCCTATTGTTGCAGCAGTTTATTCGGTGTTGTTGCAATAATATGTTCATGATATTTCACCTGCTTCAGCCTAATGTTTCAGCTGTTGTTCCTTGTTGTTGCAATAGTATGTTCATGGTGTTTCAACTGCTTCATCCTAATGTTGCAGCTGTTGTTCCTTGTTGTTGCAATATATATGTTCATGGTGTTTTAACTGCTTCAGCCTAATGTTGCAGTAGTTGTTTCCGTGTTGTTGCACGTGTTTTTATTTCGGCTTTCTATGTTGTTCGACCGGGGAGGGACAAGCCGAGACGGACGGGAGCGCATGGTTCGCCGGGGCCTAGTGGGCGGACGTGCTGGGGCCAGCGGACGTGGGTGCTGTGGCCATGGGGGCACTAGGCATGCAGCATGCCTGTCGCGGGTGTGGGGCGGACGCGACGGGCTGCGGGACGATCTGGGGCGTACGGACTCACGCGGCACAGAAGCTAGCGGGGCTCTTTGTAGGCATCGTGGGTCGCGGGGTTCGTCGGTGTTAGCGGGGCTCTTCGTTCAACGAAGGCGCAGCAACGGTAGTTCGCGCGGGCGCGCGATCTCAGGGCGGCGGCGGTGGTCCAGCGGGTCCGCTCCTTGCACGCGTCGCTGGAGGGCGTGCTGGTAGCGTGTGGTGCGAAACTGAGAAGGAAGAGCGCGCGCTGAGAGAGTGCGTCCACGGAATCAGCGAACGTCCGGGCGCCGGCGCTCCCCAAATATAATTCACGTGTTATACGAACACAGGAGCTACACACATTCCGTGGTTTCACACGGCTAGGTTCGTCGGTTCATGGAGTAGCAAGCAACTGATTTGAGCCCACAATTGTGTTATGTGCGTACGTGTCCACACTTTATTTATCTGTTGCGACGCACGAACGGCACGAGAGCGTGTGAGGTCTGTCTTACTTCTTGCACACCACTCCAACGCCGTCGAGGCCGGTAGAGCACTTGACGCCGCCGGCCAGGTCATCATCGGAGGCAACGGCAAGCACATCGTCGGCGCTACTACTGCCATGGGCGAACCGGGCAACGGCGCAGTCAGTGGCGAAGAGCCCAGACGCGGCGAAGTCCCTCTCGCCTCCCATGACGAGCATCTTCGCCGACACGTCGAGCCGGTTCACGTAGCTGCGCCCGTACGTCTGCCCCAGCACGCCGTGCACGTCGTCGGTGAGGGAGTAGAACTTGAACGCCAGGTCCAGATGCGTGAGGCAGTCACCATCGCGGAGCCCCTAGGCGTGGGCCCTGGAGTCCTCCTCGGTGATGGGCACCGCGTTCGCCGTGATCCTGAACGCCCCGGCGAGCTCCGCCACGACGCCGTTGGCCGCCCTGGTCCGCGCCACGGACAGCGACGGCGCGGCGGAGGCAGGCGCCTCCCATTTGGCGTCCACGACGCCCTGAACCTGCACGGGCTCGCCGTCGAGGACGATGGCGAGACGATCCGCCTCGTTGTCCCACACGGCGGTCCTGAGCACCCCGACGTAGAGGCGGTGGCCCCGGAACTGCACGGCGATGGCCTGCACCCAGGTCGGGTCCCTCTTGAGGCCCGGGACGTGGCTGCCGATGAAGTGCGCGTTGATGTGGAGGTTGGCGTCGGAGAGCAGGCAGAAGTCCCGGTCCCTGCGCCCGTGGAAGTAGGACGTGTTGCCGTCGCCGCGAGCCCGCGACCGCCGATGAAGCGGCGAAGCGCGGGCCCTCGCACACAGCTCCTGCCTCCTGGGCTCCTGGCAGGTTGGCCAAAGAGAACCGTCGAATGGAAAGCTAGAAAGCAGAATGATTCGCGTACATGATTGTAATTTGTAACTAGCGAGGCGTGGCCAACACAAGTTGCGCGGCTAGCATGTTATTCTACCTTATACTCCCTCGGTTACATACTATAATACATTTTGATTATTCTGGACACATTGTATTTGCTATGTATTAAACATAGTGTATATCTAAGTGCATAACAAATATCAAGTATCTAGAAAAAGTTAAAACATCATAAAATTTGGATGGAGAGAGTATAATTTATGGGTCGTTTGATGGGTTTTAGATTCTCCTTGAAATGTTTTTTTAATCCAAATTTCTTCAGAAACGCTTCTAGTGAATTAGAGCATTTTATGGATCCGTTTGGCTAGCTTGTTGGATTGGTGAAATTAGAACTAGAATCAAGAGAAACTAGATTTTAGGTGTTCCTAGAGAAACGAGAATCGGTTCCAAATGTCTCTCTGGAACATTTTTCTCTCTGGCATTTTAGCAGCGACTCTAGTGATTCTACTTAGAGCCTAAATTTCTCGCTGTCCAACACGCTTTTAACATGTACTCTTCACAACCATTCCACTCACATGTCATACTACCAAATCTATTACTTCATTAGTGTTCCAACATGGACTTGAGGGTTGTGATACTCACAATTCCAGAGTGGATAATGGTTATTCAGTAGTGACGAGGAGCATAGTCGTGTCTTGGTGACTCTTTGGTCTTCCAATATGGACTCGAGGGTTGTGAACTTGTGATAATAACTAGATACCAAGGGGGAAAAAATCTAGTTGTCTATTTCTCTCTTTCGTTTTACTTCTTGTTTAAGCTTTTACTTTACTTGTTGTGTACAAGTTCTCTTGTTGAGTGACAACTTACAACTAGGATTGCATAGTAGCATGATTAGCATAGGTTTACTTGTTCTTTAAGACCTTATTACTAGTGTGAACCTTGCTAAGCATTTGTGTAGCTATGATGATCCTAAGGTCTTTCAAGAGTGAAGAGTACCAGTATTTTGTAGAAAACTTAGGTGTCTCGGTGCTAGGATCTAGCCACTAGCCACAGCGGCAAACAAAAAACAAGTGCTGCGTGGCCGTGGCGTGCCTCTGCTTGCCTTGCCTGCCTCGCACGGGTTGACCAAAAAAAGTATAGCTAGCGTCGCACCGAACCCAACACAAAAATCCTCTGGTCCACGGTGAACCCATCTCTGCACGCTTGCCCGTGGGTCAGACTGGCGGATCTAGGATTTTGGGTCACTGATGTCAATATAAAATTATCAACTTATGACAACGACTTACCGGTGAACAGTAATACATAAACGAGTGTAAATAGCAGTCTGGAATTGTTTCTAGAAACAATAATAAATATTTACCTCTTAAAGAAGCATTTTCCGATTGTGATTTTCCATCTTTTGAAAGCGATCAATTATAACATTGTCCGGGATTGTCGCTAGAAACTCTGGCTCAACAAAGCAAATGATGCAATCATTCATAAACTTGTTGCCAATACGATTACGCGATATCGCCTTCACAGTTTTCATGGCGAGAAGCACCTCTCCACGGATGCAAAGTGGCAATAGGCAAAACAAGTACTAGCTTTAGGAGCTGATAGACTAATGGAAAAGCAAGATGCTTCTTTGTATCCACCATCGCTTTAGCAAGTTCTCGTAATAGTATTCAATCCTCGAAAACCTTTCATCACCTCGCACATTGTCAATGTAAATAGGCACTTATGAGCAAGATCCTTTAATTGATCAGGGCTAAAATCATCGAGGATAGAGTTTAGCCAATTCCAATAAGCTCTCCAATTTGAAATCAGCAAAAGAATCTTTAGGACTAAAAGCAGCCATGAAAGTGAGCAAATTAGAATTTGTTTCACCAAACCGATCATTGAACTCTGTAAGTAGCATATCCACAACCGAAGTTCAAACAATCCCATCTCGTAGTTCGATAATTGGTTCGGTTTGTCTTTTTCCTTGGCTTATGGCGATCAACATACTCTTCTTCCATGTCCAACTTAGGAATACCATGCTCTTCACAAAAGGAATATATTGTCTCTAATAAAGATTCCCATCCATCATCTCTAATCTGCTGGAATTTTTGCTTGGTTAACTTTACCTCTGACATGGCCTCCAATATATCCTGATCTTTCCTTTGCAAATAAAGTGACAAAGAATTTGCATGCCCCAATATAATTAACATCAAGTGTAAATGAAACACAAAATCAAAATCCTTGAGATAATCTAG